TGTCAGTTGCCACCCTCCTTGCAGTCTTACTATGCCTCCAAAAGGGATTCTTGGAAATACTTGGGGTGGTGAGGCTGTGCGAATTTTAGTGCATTAACCTTCTGAAATACAATAGTTTGTCCTTCACGAACTTTACAAACCGTTAGTTGGACAAACCCTTCCGCAATTCTCAGAATCACTTTTCCTCCAGCCTGCTAATTTATGTCTGTGTGAGACATTCTTGTCTTCTGGTCTGTTGGAAAATTTGTCTTTACAAAAAATATTTCTACTAATTTAACCTTTAAGCTACGGGCATTTAATTTCCGGTAAGGGCAGCGGTATGGAATAAATTTAAATACCCGCGATTATAAAGCCATAAAAACTGTAATCATTTACTAAATTTGCTCCTATTTCTGCAATTTCTCTGATGAACGAAATAAACGCTGCTTTTTTCTCGAAAGAATATAGAATCAGATATTGTAATTTACAGATTGTATAAAACATGTTAAAATTTTTACACTGACTCCAAATAAGAAATTCCCAAGTTTTTTAGTTTCTCTACAAGAATTCATAAGTTCTCGGTAAGTTTGAATGCAGGCTGGTGGGTGACATCACAAAAAATATTTCTACTAAAATTTTAATATTGGTTTTATTATCAATTAGCTCTAACAGTTGAGGGGTCGCACTTTGTGGCTATGGGGGCCGCATGTTTGAAATAGCTGATGTAGACCGATTGTATGTGTGTGCTAGATCAGCCACACTCACACCTCATCCTCGCTTTTCAATGATTTTATGTTTCATTTCTACGGTTATTTTTATTCTCTTATGGCTGTCTTTTTGCGGCTTTTTCTTCAGGGATATTTTTGCAAGGGTTAAACTTTGCACAAAAAAATCACAAATAATATGTGTGAACACAAGTTTGGAAAAATGTGTGATCACAAGCGACACTAAGATGCTAGCGGAATGAGTGCTAAACACAGACTGATGTAGCAAGCGCACAATCTGGGACTTCCCCTCTCGTCACTCGTTATGCGAAACATCACTCGTTAAGTGAGTCATTTTTTTACAGTTTGTTTTGCTTGTTATGCAAATTACTCGTTAAGCAAGGTTCCACTGTATATTATCCAAAAAACTTAACAAACCAAAACTGACTCCTTTTCATCATCAATGTACTATTCTACTCTAAGGTAAAGGTAACATTTTTCTTGTGCTTGCTTAATTAATTAAGCATCATGCTATGAAGATGTATGGGGTGAGTAAAGGTATAGCTCCATCATTCTTAACCTCGGTACTCAACAGCCCTAGTACCCAAAGAATAGGAAGCTGGGTGGCTCCCAGAGCCGGTATGGAACCTGTGGAGGATAGAAAAATCTCTTGCTCCTCTTCAGCACCAAACCCCAATTTCTTGGATGTCCAGCTCATAGCTCGTCACTATACCAACTGAGCTATCCTGGCTCCCAATTTTCTACTGCACCACCATTACAGATTTACAGCTATAATTATGTCAAGAAATATACATGCTCATACATCAGCTGCAGTTAATTGAAACCAAGTGTCAAAACATCATTCCAAAATATATTTGTAATTTCTCCACTCATAGTTATTTGACTTGCCTGATAAAGTTAAAGAAATTTACTTCTAAGGATGAAGCATCCTCAGAGCAAAAGTTTTAAGTGGGTAATGCAGAAGATAAAAGTGAGCAGGGAGACCCTGTAACTTAGCTCAGACAGTGAACACTCACTGCATTTTGCTGCCCATGGAGGGACACAAGACCTAAGGCATAGGAATCCAGTGTTTCACTCCTAAATCACTCCCTATCTCTTCAAAAAGAAGTAAATGTGTCACACACGAAATACATAATTTAAATTAAAGAAAAATCAAAGTAAATTAAAATACCAAAATTAAGAATTTCCTTAACTCGCTCTGGTTTTCTCTATTGCATTTTTATGCCCTTGGTCATAAACTTCTCTTTATCTTGAAAAAAGTCGTCTTCTGGGATCTGGCGCTCTTCACTCCTGAATCACTGCAGCTACTGCTCTCTGTCTTCGCATCGCGATACACCTGCCCTGAAGATGGAGGCGATACGTTCCTCCGAAACGTCGGTTAAAACCAAAAATACATGGCACCAGATCCCAGAAGACGACTTCTTCATAGTCATCGCCGTGAAAACTTCAAAACTTACATTCTCTTTATCTTGTTTGTTTCTGATTATTAACACTAAAAAAAGATAATCTGTCTTGTACAGTATAAGGATTGTTACAAAAGATGGAACAAAGTTCTTAAAATGTAATTAGCAGTCGGGATCCAAACAAAAGTGCACATAACTGTACCAACATGTACCCTGCACTATGTTCTAGAGGTTTCGATTGTGCATTTTCTTCCACCCTAGTGAGGGGTTCATCTGGCATGTGAGGGCAGCCAGTGATGAAACTCACAAATGGTCGGGATTATGATAATGAGCAGAGTGATGGGCAAATATGAAAAATGCAAATAAACATTCATCCCTTGGGCATAAATCAAAACTGCTATTCCAGCATTTCCTTGGTCTAACACTGTACATGCTTTAAAGCTGTAGTCATTTGGATTGGTAGTTCATGTTGGGAAAGGAAATGCCTGTGGGCAAGTGTATATACATGGTGTGACTGAGAAGTCACCATACCCCAACTAACTTATCATGTGTGACATAGTACGAGGGGCAGTCAACTTCTAAGGTCTCCAGTCTTTTTTCTCAGGACTGGGAGCAGATAGACACATGTGGTTTAGTTTAATATACGTGTGCACTCTTTGTGAATGTGTGACAGAGATGACAGCATTGTATGGCACACAGAACTCTAGTGGCGGCCGCGAGCGTGAGGAGTGTTTTTCATACTTAAAATGGCGATGTTTTCGTTACAAGAACAGCGAGTAATCATTTGTTTTCTCCACTTGCATGGTGCGACACCCATTGAAATTCATCGCCAGTTGAGTGAGACATGTGGTGATGGTGTCATGAATGTGAAAAATGTGTGTTCGTGGGTGCGAGAGTTCAAAGAAGGCCGAACTTTGTGTGACAATGAACCAAAACAATCTCGGCCTCACACCAGCCGGTCTGACATGGTCGAACAAGTTGAGAAGGTTGTTTTGGAGGATCGCTGATTGAGTGTGGAAAACATCGCCTCCAAAGTTGGCATTTCTGTGGGATCTGTGCACACAATCCTGCATGAAGACCTGCGAATGCGGAAAGTGTCCTCCAGGTGGGTGCCACGAATGCTGGCAGATGACCACAAGGCTGCGCGCATGGCAATTTGCCAGATGATGTTGACACGTGATGAAGGCATGAATGGGACTTTCTTTTCATCAATTGTGACAATGGATGAGACATGGATGCCGTTTTTCAATCCTGAAACGAAGCGCAAGTCAGCTCAATGGAAGCGCACAGACTCACCGCCACCAAACAATTTCGGGTAAGTGCCAGTGCTGGAAAAATGATGGTGGCCATGTTTTGGGACAGCGATGGCATAATCCTTACTCACTGCATTCCAAAGGGCACTACTGTGACAGGTGCATCCTACCAAGATGTTTTGAAGAACAAGCTCCATCCAGCACTGCGAGAAAAACAGCCGGAAAAGGCTGCACGTGTGCTCTTTCACCAGGACAAGGCACTAGCGCATCGGGCATATGCGATGCAGCAGTTTCTTCATGAAAACAACCTTGAAGTGGTTTTTCATGCTCCCTACTCACCTGACCTGGCTCCTAGCGATTTTTGGCTTTTCCCAACGATGAAAGACTCTCCCCGTGGTCGCACATTCACCAGTCGTGCCACTATTGCATCAGCGATTTTCCAGTGGTCAAAACAGACTCCTACAGAAGCGTTCACAGCGGCCATGGAATCATGGCGTCGACGTCGTGAAAAATGTGTACGGCTGCAGGGAGATTAGGTTGAAAAGTGACAGAAGTTTCAAATTTTTTGCATGATTATTGTGTGAGAAAAAAAATCGCAGACCTTAGAACTTGAACGCACAACGTACAATGTGAAACATGAAAGTGGTGTGTGGCAACACTGTCAGTTGGACATGCTTGTAGGGCATAGTTAGATAGTGTTCTGATTATGGCCAATACCAGCATGTATTCAGTTGAAGAGTGGTTAATAGCAAGCATATGAGTGCACCAGAGATCATGCACAGGCAAAACAATGGTCAAAGAGACAATAGTGTTCCATGAACCATTCAACAAGGTGCTGCCACAAAAAGTGACACTGATAGACTGGAAGAAATGTGTGCTTTCCCTTCAGAAGTATCAAGGACTGACAGTGGAGTGGGTGAAGGAAAATGCACTTGACCATACATGCAGCTGTTTCCGCCTAAGTTGAGCATTCCACTAGAAACAGATGTTGAAATGATCAGCATTGTTCGGTGTGTCAAGGTCTACAATATAAGATCACATGAAGAAAGACATGAATTTGAAGCCACATAGCCCAAAATTCACATATGAATTGTTTGATGCTAACACGAATTGCTGCAATTGGACCTGTCATGCACTGCTGGACAATTTCCTGAATACCACATTCCACATAAAGGTTCTCTTCATCAATGAGTGCACAATTTATTGCAGTACCTGTGACTGAAATGCAAATCCACATTTGATAGTGGGGTTGGAATGTAACCAATCACATTTGGTGTTATGGGCTGGTATGACATCAACAGTTAATGTACCATCTTAAGTAGAAATGTCAGAGGCGTGGTTAATGCCACAGATCAAGCCAAGAGAACTAAAGGACGATGTGTGGCTGCAGCAAATCATGACAACTGCATATTTCACCCTCACCGTTCATGACATTGCTGCTGGACTGGCTGTAGCCCACCTACTGTTACTGCCTCATATCTTTAGCCGCGGTAGAGGGGTCATACCATCTCTCGTGGAGCGGGGGGAGCAGTCTTGTCAGCCTATGTCAGCGTGGGTACTACCAGTTTGGAATATAGCGTCTTGGAGTGTGATCAGGTGTATAGTACGTTGTGTTGCTTGTTAGTTGGTACCAGTCATAGCGATTGTATTATGTACGTGGTGTTCTTGTCACTATCACGGCACACCGACAATGGCACGGAACAATTCATAGTCAGGCCGGGGAAGTAATAGCTAATATTGTAGAGATATGCAACGAGGAAGAGCTGAGTAAACATTTGTTATTGCCGCTCCCGAAAGCTACGGAACGTGCTGCTGTATATGCTGGAGTATCACCAGGGAAGAAGAGAAGATGCATTTCTCGCAGTGTTGTGTGTGTAGATGACTTCGATATATGCGTTATTAGAAATGAAATTCACAATTTCTATATACAGGAGAAATGAGTGCCCACCATCCCCAAGCTTTTGCCAATAATTAAAAGCAAAATAAATTTTCCTTGGGGAGAAACGTCTTTGCACAGAATTATTAAAAGCATGGGGTTTAGATGGCAGCGATATCAGTCAAAGCGCAAAATTTTGATTGAAAGACAGAACATTGTGAATTGGCGAAGTAAATACTTGGTTAAAATAAAGCAGTATCGTGAGGAAGGACGATCAATCGTGTACATCGATGAGACGTGGGTAGACAGCAACCTGACGTTTTGAAAGTGTTGGCAGAGTGATGACGTCATTGGAGTCCAGGAAAATGTTAACTCTGCTAACAGACTCATAATACTACATGCAGGGACCTCGAACGGTTTAATTCCAGAGGCCAAACTTGTCTACAAGGCTGGTGGTGCAACAGGTGATTACCACGGTCAGATGAATGGTCATAACTTTCAGAAATGGCTGACAGAAAAATTAGTTCCCCATATTCCTCCATAGTCCGTCATTGTTGCAGACAATGCCCCATACCACTGTGTCAAAATAGACAAGCCACCAATGCCTTACTCACTCAAGAAGGATATGATATCATGGCTACGTCACAAGGGTGTCGACTGTAATGAGAGTATGTGGAAGAATGACCTCTACAATCAAACACTTTCCCTAAAACCGAAAGAGAAAGTGTTCAAGATCGATTCCATTCTGTCCGGACATGAGCATTCTGTGATCCGTTTGCTGCCGTATACGTGTGATCTCAATCCGATCAAGCTCGCATGGGTGAAAATAAAATGGATAGTCAGAGAGCATAATGTAACAGCGGATCTGTCACTTGCAAAATTACTGGAAGTGACAAATGAAGCCATACAAGAGGTTATGGCAGACAACTTGGCTGGTTTCTGTCACCACGTGGAATCGCAAGAAAAACTGTACTGGGAGAAAGATGGCATTGTGCCGGATGTGATAGAAGAAATAATCATCAATCTGCAGGGTGATACTGATGGTGAGGATGACACAGACAGTGCTTGTAGTGATTCATCGTCTGCCAATTCAGACTGAGTGCACCGAGCCAGTACATTGTGGATTCGACGTGCATTGTCGAGGACTGTAAGGTATTGTTCTGTAGTGTTTGTTTTATAATAGTGTACACTGTAGTGCCTACTGTACAGTTACTGTGTTTCTTATTATGTCATGCATTGTACATATTGCCATTGTGATATGGTGTCATGCCGGCCGGAAGTGCGATAAGCTAGTGCTTTCGCTCCACCGCACTGTATCGATTCCGTGATATCTACTCCTGGTCTCCAAGGCAATGTTTTCCACTCGGGGAGTAGCTCTGAACGGCCCCACAGCAAGGGTATAGCTTCGCGTGCCCCACAACAGCGTTTGCCTTTCCGCACGGCTAAAGTTACCAGGCAGTAACAGTGCATCTCCTGCACCATTATCCTGACCACCACATAGTCCTGATCATAGCATTGTGCGACATTAACAAGGAATAAGTGCTGTGCACCAGAATCACAAAAATCACAAGCTGCAAAGAGCTGTGGAACAGGTGTTCTTGAGTACATTTCACATAGAGCACTGGTGCACATCAGGCTGTGTTTCAAACATGACAATGAAAATACAGATCCTCTTGATGTATAGTGAATCTCACCATATGGTATGATGATGATGACAACGATGACGACAAAGATGACGACGAAGATATGACAATGATGATAATAATAATAATAAAAATAAAAAACAGCAGCTTTCATAAAAGCAAGTACAATAACAAGAATCCTTTTACTGTTCAGAATAAGGAAGTTTCCATTAAGAATTAACTATGATCATAACGGTGTCTATTTAAGATTACATTCAAAGGAAGATATCTGAACTGACATCATACGTCTATACTGATGATGCAATCAATACATAAACAGCTCTGGAAACAGAACTTCATATGCTGGTGGATTGTTAGTACGCAGGGGATCATTATCCTGCTTTGTTCCTGGAGTGGGAGTTGCTGGGGGGCGAATCCCATCTGACAAACCTGTTGACAACTTGCTAAAGATTTCATTCAGCTTATTCTGGAGTACGTCATTCTGAAAGAATGCACAAAGGACTGTAATAAATAACAAACATCAATAACCTTCCAAGCACAAAGTACTATACATGTGTGAAATGGTGAGGAAGGTGAATTTGGAAGATGTAGAGGACGTAATCCCACAACTATCAGACTATGTGTACAAAATGCCCCCTATAATGAGATACAGTCAACAGTTTTTGTTTTCCATTCTGCATTTTTATTTTAAATTACAAAGAGCTGATATTTACATTACAGTAAACTCCCCATTATCTGGCATGTATTGAGAATGCTATGTTCTAGTCATATAATATCCTGGCTGCACAAAAGAAACTTATGGGGGCCCAATTTTCACTTGATTTTCAAACTTTTCTAGTCTTTTATATATTTCTATTTTCTGTTTCAAGGTCAAAACAATATATTTTTCACTTCAGTTCTTGTGTGAAGTCTCCCTAGGTAATGCAGCAGAATGATGGATGACAGACTTCAGATATACCGCGATGTGATCAGCAAGTCAACTAGCCTCTATTGTAACCAGGGACTACAGCTGTAATGACAGCTGTAATGGCACCTGCAAGGAGGAGGGATGACATGCAATGCTGCTAGTGGTGCCTGGGAAAATTAATGTCTGATGGGTGAACATATGTGTACTGCAACATTTTGTTCGAAGTAACATTATAAAAATTGTACATTTTCTTTCAAATGTTTACTGGTGGCATGAGAATTCCAAATGCTTGGATACCAGATAACTGTGAGTATACTGTAATATGGTTGGTCATCCAGTCATTTTATGACACATTACACAGAAGAAATTAAATACAAAATGATGAACTGTGAAGATGAATGGAGCATATGTTATTTAACCACTTGAAGACTATTTTAAATGGGATCCTGCTTTACAGCTATATTTAAATAGCATGCTGTTTACCAATTACCAACTTAATATCTTAATTTTAGATATTATTTAGTGATCAAGACATAAAATACATTCTTTGGTCAAAGAAAGGCAAGAGAAGAGCACAAGGCTCTCATTTCTTGGTTATCTAAATGTGAATCTCAGAACTGTAAGGACAGGGTGGCTGACCATGCCTCAGAAACAATGTTAGTTAACAATTGGTTAACCTTTGAAGCACAAAGTTTTTCTAAAAATATTTAAAAATTCAGCTCCTACCTCTCAAGAAACACACTGTAACTGTATCTCAATGATAAAGACAAATTGGATACTGCTGCACAGGGAAATGAACACGTTTTCTATGAGAATCATACAACACACATAAATATTCTGTGGGAAAAATGTACCTTTTTAATGTTGAAACAGGTGGAACATATGTTTACCACTGTCTTAATGAGTTAGCAATAATATACCAACTGTACTGGTTACTTGGTGTTGAATGATAATAGTGTTCAGTGAATATGAAAGGACTCAGGAGCAGGAAGTCACAGAATATTTCCATGGTACTATCCTGATATTTGCCTTGACTCTTTGCAGACAAAAAAAAAAAAAACAAAAACAAAAACAAAAATGTTTAGGAGTCAGTCTCCTGTCTGAGATTTGAACTACTCATCTCCATAATGCAAGTATCACAAGTGTTACCACTTCAGCAGACTTGCTCAGTTACTGGTAAGAATAGCCTCTTTTAAAGTGTTACCTTGGCATTTGCTGGGATTGACTGAAGAGACCATGACAACTTCACTCTGGATAATTTGCAAGTTGCCAAATTAAAACAAAGTACATTCAAGTTGTAGTGGCTACATTACTCCTGTGCCAATCAGCCAGATACAGAACTTACAAGAGGAAGATCCTCTAGAACATGATATGTAATAAATTTTAAAATAATAATAATGGAGTCAAAGTAAGGTAAGGTAAAAGAGTCACTATGTTAATTAAACATCACACCCTGACAACATATGGTGAGTGGAGGTATGACTCCACACATTCTTAACCTCTATTCAAGATGAGAGCGCTGGTCAGAGTACAAGGTGCGACAATTTAATTCCTGGACTGGCCCTGTGAAAGCAAACTTTGCTTATCTGTGCACTAGCGGCTGCTGTCGCCTTCAAAATACTCTCCTTGTGAAGCTACGCGCTTTGTGAGACAATGTTGTCACTGCCAGAAACAGTCTTGAAAATCGTTTTCCAGAATACCTTGCAGTAACATCACATTGCGCTGAATGTCAGCAAATCTTTGTCCCTTCAGGGAATTTTTTAATTTTGGAAAGAGCCAAAAATCACAGGGGGCTAAGTCAGGTAAATAAGGTGGATGGTCCAGTCTGTAATTGATTTCTTAGCCAGCAATTTGCAAACTCTTAACGCATTATGCGTACAGACACTGTCATTGTGGAGAATCCACTTGTCAGGCCAAAATTTGGGTCTTTTCTTCCCAACAGATACCCATAACCTTGTCAGCACTTCCGAATAACACTGTTGCTTCACCGGTTGTTCTGTGCAAAGAATTAATAGTGAACTAGTCCCTTGTGATTGAAGAAACAGACAAGCATGGTCTTGAACTGTGAGCTAGACATGCCTGCCTTTTTGGCCGAGGTGAATTCTGTGTTTTCCACTGCGTGCTCTGGCGTTTTGTTCCTGGGTCATATTGAAAACAGCACGTTTCATCACTAGTAATGACCCTAAGAACATCTCTGCATTGTGTAAAAGATCAGATGAAATGTGAAGCTGATGTTTCTGGTAATCTGTCAAGATTAGAGGCACCATCTTTCCAGAAATTTTTCTCATTCCCAAATCCTCCATAATAATCTGTCTCACTGTTTCCCTATTCATATTCAATTCTTCTGCTATTAGTCTCACACTTAATTTTAAATCTGAGAGCACCAAAGTTCATACTCTGTCCACATTTGCAGCTGTCCTTTGTGTTTTTGGCTGCCCACTCCTTGGGTCATCTTGCACATCTTCTCGCCCTTCCTTTAACGGCCTATGCAATTCAAAAACACTCGATTTTTTCTTAGTGTATTCATTATATGCCACTGTCAATATGTCTAACGTTTCACTAGCACTTTTGCCAATCTTCTCAAAACTTTATGATTATCTGCTGCTCCAGATTCTTGTCACTCATTTTTCCACCAACAGTATACAAAGGACACGTACAACTTCCTTTGCTGCTTTGGAGTGAATGACTCATTTGGTCTGTGGCTTATGTAAATCCAAATTGGAACATGTCCAAGAATGGTTTGGTACATGAGTTTGCCTGACTCAATATGCCAGTGACACACTGTGGCCATTCAAGGAATTAAATTTTCATGCCATGTACATAAGGCATTGAACTGGGAAAGATACGAATTACTGTATAATGTATTAAAATAGTATGTCGAAAATGGTGTATTTTACTATAGAACAATCCTAATGATAAGCAAATGGTTCAGTCCTCAACTTGGTCTGGATAATTCATGAAAAAAATGAATGTCCATGCAATCCCATTAAAGACACATCAGATAACTGTAACCTCATGTTAACAGGTGATATGACTCACATTAGCATGTGTGCGATCCACCAAATCATGGAAATCTGCTGTACGGAAAGTCTCACTCAGCTGTAGCCTTCTCTCTTCTTCTGCCTCCTTAGCATTCTCTGCTGGTTCTGACAGAAGTTTCTTCATTGATTCAAATGTTAATTCTTCTTCTGGGTGTTTCTAAACAAAAACATTTATGAATATTATACATGAAAATAAAAACTGGAGAGTATGACAATCTAATACAAGGTTGGCCTTCCATCAAGCAGCTGAGAGTTATATGTGATTTGGGGTTTTCAGTTTTCAGATTTAGATTGTGGGTGGTTACCAATGTTTTGGAGAAACCTGCTGCTTCTGTTTTCAGGTTATACTTCTGCCCAAATATGGAGCCTGTGAGTTCATCCAAGAAACTGGTAACATCCAAGCAGACTAGACGTCATAACAGGAAAGACAAAGTTCATAGTTACTCAGGCAGTGAAGAAGTTCTGTTATGAAATTATCTCATGAAATTCAAAGATTACAGGTTTAAGTGTCCACAGACTTTAATTTCTTTTATTTCATGCGGGGCAGGGTGAGACTGACTCCACTTGGTATGCTGGTCACTAACTGACCTATTGTACCTACCCTGGATGGGAGAAAGTTTCGAGCATTTTGCTCTAGTGAACTGTAAAGTGTACCAATAGGATTACTGTTCTAGTTATTTGTAGTTACAACCTGTAAGTGATCAATAAATTTAACTGCCAATCCAAACCTCACCTATAGTCATGCACATACTATGTGACAATGGTGTCAGAAGTGGTTGCATTGGAAACTTCACTAGATCACTATACCGCCAGACTATGGAGACTGAACGGATAGCACGAATGCTAGCTGAAATGAATGCTGAACTAAGAACTAACCAAGAAGAAATGACAGCAAGGTTGCAAGCTATAATACAGAACAACGACGACAGAATGGACACCAACTTAAAGGGAACAGGGGCCAGCCAAGAACACCTGAAAGCAGAAATGAGTCAGTCAAAAACTCTTGAAGAAGAAATGCTGGCCACGATGGAAGCCATGATAGAAGCCAATGATGAGAAGTCTGAGGCCCTTTGAAGTACTCTCATCTCTCAGATGAATATCCATGAAGCCCGGACAGAGGCTGGCCAAGAAGAAATAATAGCCAAGATGGATGCACATCAGGAAAATGGCAGCAAGCATGAATGCCTAGAGAAAACCGATGTCTGTAGCAGTGCATAAGGAAGTCCCCATGGAAGAGACCATAGTGGAAACTTTTGGAGCACTAACAAAGTGTGGGGACCAGCATCTATCTGTAGGGCACTGCCAAGAGCCAAAGAAATGGACACAGGGCAATGGTGGGTCCTAGAAGAAGTTCGGTGCCGCCTGCAGAGGGATGACCAACTCTACATGGCATAATGGACATGGCTGTCAGTGATAAGACAAGAACAAGAATGTACCAAGAACCAAGAGAGAATGGATGTTCAGGAAGAGACATTGGGAGAAACTGGAAGGCATCACTGGAATAAGGGACTTAAGCATGAGACAGCAGCTACATCTAGAAAATAACAGAACTTTGAACAAGATCATCAGGCAGACTTTTGGAGCAGAGGTTATGAGGCAAGAAGTTGGGTTTTCCATCAGGTTACAGGGAGTGAATGACTGGGCATCATGGTGGAGTCAGTCACTTTGGAAACAACAGAGGAGACTGCACACAGAGTAAGAGCTAGAGATGTAGGTGCACTTGCCACTCTAGGTAGTTTGCTTGTACAGAGAGACAGTAAGGTCTTCATTGTTTGCATCCTGTTGTGGGTCACACTGCAGAAAAGAAGGCTGATGGTAGTACACCTGGGCCAATTGCTACCCTATGAGGAAACTGCTTGGGAGAAGTAGTCTTCAGAAGGGAGCAGCAAGAGCTGTCACATAGCAAACACCATGTAAACTGAGCCACAGGTAGAAAGGTGAGACTGATCACAGATGTCACAAGCACAGCCCTCAAAAAAGAAGACATGGCAGTATTCCTGTAGGCTATTTGGGAAGAATAGCCTTAAGGAGGGAGTAATGTGGCACAAAGACCTGTTGCTATGCAATGACCATGAGATGGACAGATATACCAGGGTTGTGTCTGGGCAATGGCTCGGTAAACATGTTCCCAATGCTAGACAGAAGATTCTTAATGCAACAGTTGGACTACAACAATGGAAGGTATGTGTTTTCTATGTGTCCATACTGAGATGTTATAAGGGACCATGTCAGCTGAGAGTCTGTTCTGTGCGGGAGTCTGTGAAGAGAGGATCTAAGCCAGTGGCAGAGGAATAGTCATTGTTGGAGCTGCTACCAGGAAATGCCTACTAGACTGTGTGCTACAGTGAACTGAAAAGTGTGCAAATAGCAATAGTGTTATTTGTAGTTATGACCTGTAAATGGTCAATACATCTAACTGCCAATCCAAATCACATCTATAGTTACACAGATACTATGTGACAATATTATAACTTTGGAGAACCATTTAAATATGACTGTTTGAACACAATAAGAATGTAAATGTGAATACACTAATTTAGATATCATGTTATTTCACTAATCAGTCAAACAGAACCATTTGCTTCTTTTCCTTGAACTCTCTGTCTGTTTTCAACTTCGCTACATACAAGATGGTTCAAATATGACTGGGACTGATTTGTATGTAAACAAGCCGCAATGCGCAGCAGCTGTGCGACCTTGAGAGAGTGAAGCCACAACCTCCACCCTCCCTCCTGTTCGGGTTAGAACCTGTTCAGTCCTGTCTGGGAGTTGCTAGAGTGATGAGCAAACAGAAGGTATTGCAGAGCGTGGAACAATGCATTGTGATCAAATTCCTTGTTGGAGGAAACGTCCCATCTGCTGAAATTCACCACAGACTCCATCAACAGTATGGGTAAGAGTGTCTCTCACAGACCCGTGTGTTTGAGTGGTGTAAGTGCATCAGAGAGGGCAGAGAACATGTGGAGAATGAACCGCATGATCATCGGCCGCAAACATCCATCACCGAGCCAAACACTGATCATGCAGACGCGCTTATTCCTGAGAATAGGCACATCACTATCAAGGAACTTGGAGCAATGCTGTCCAACAGTGTTGGTAGTGTAGAAGACATCATGAAATAACACCTGCACTATTGCAAGGTGAATGCACGGTGGGTACCACGCACTTTGACAGACGTGAACAAAATTGTGCACATACAAGCTGTCAATCGTCTCCTACAGTAGTTTGAAGACAACGGTGATGCATTTTTGAAGTCTGTAGTGACCACCAATGAAACATGGGTGCACTACTTCATTCCCAAGTCCCAGCAGTCATCATGCAAGTGGCGGCATACCAGTTCTCCCAAACCCAAGAGAGCGCGGATGAGCCGTTCGGCAGGAAAAGTGATGGCAATGTCCTTCTGGGACTGGCAGGGGTTTATCCTTCCTTCCAAATCCTTTTATTCACCATCTTTGGCCCTATCACCTTATTCTATATACTCTCAATAGTGAACGTATCATCAAATAACCAAAAAAATACAATAAAATAAAATCTGTTACTAACTTACACATGTTACAAGAAATAAATGATATCTCAAACAAAATATGAAATGAAGATATTAAGAGCAGAGCAGTCAAAATGTTAACCTTTAAACTACTAAAGACGCCATATGGCGTCGCAAAAATAAAGTCAGCGGTACGAATGACCCCATATGGGGTCGCACAGTCCGCGCGTGCGAACGTTATATAAAATTAAATTTTAACGTAGAAAATGATGTTCTACTTATGTAATTTTTGGCCACCATCTGAATGGAGGGTCTGTCTTCCCACCTGCGTCATCTGCCGGAATGTTGCCTTCGTGTGGAATTCTCAAAAAAATCCGGAAATGCAGAGTCCGATTTCGCACTTCACACACTTTGTCCGGACGATCTTTCGTCTCCCACGCGAAAAGCACACACGACACCTCAACTGCGAAGTAGAGGAAGTCGGCCTTCTATAATCGAGATATCTCCCATAAAACGGCAGGGGTTCGACCCCTGGCCGTTGATGGCGAGGTGGACCCCTTCCAGCATGTTCCGCACAAGAGCGAGATGAAATTCTCTGTGTGACAACAGGATGTAACTGTTCAGATCAAGGAGATGGAAAAATAGCTTATTTGTCCACTTCCAGGTTCGACAACAGATGCTATAACTGTTTGCCACAGTTTGCCCACAGCTTCACCTTAATAATTATTCACACTCCTCGTGCCACGCTGGTGTGGTGGTCCCCAGGTTGTCGACGAAGATGATGGGTCTTCTTCGAAATCACTTTATGATTCGCTACCTTCAACGTCACTCTCAGAATTGTCAGTACAGCAATCTGAATCGGAGTCATTGATGAGCTGAAATATGTCAGAATATTCCAAACGACATGACCACATGTTACGATCAAACTTTGAAATTACACTCGACTGAACGCTTCCAGCCACTAAGCTATTACGCTGTGTGTCGGTACGGCAACGCATGCATAAAGAATGCTAGCCTTGAACTGTATATGAACAGTACACATATTGAAGAAAGTTGTCTTCTGGGTTTAGGCACCGTGTATTCTTCGTTTTGGCCGACGTTTCGGAGGAACGTAGCGCCTCCATCTTCAGAGCAGTTGAATAGCTGCGGAGAGCAGTAGCTGTGGTGATAGGATGTGGAAGGTGCTGCTTATATACGAAGTAGGCAGGGGGGGTGGTTAGGGAGAACGGACCAATGGGAGCAGTGGAGAGCGATTAAGGCCATATATGGTGTGTGACTAAGGGAGAGGGGGATCATATGGTCTTTATCGCTCTCAATAATCTCGACAGACGTGAAACATCCTTTCCCTCAAGAGAATCCTACTAGCCACACCAGTTCTTCGTCATGTCATTGACGTCAATAGCCTGTCCTCAACCTACCGGGTTTTCTTGACTACCGCACTTCCTAGTGCTACTGACCTGAAGTTTCCTGTACTCACTGGCCGTTCCCCTCTCCCTTAGTCACACACCATATATGGCCTTAATCGCTCTCCACTGCTCCCATTGGTCCGTTCTCCCTAACCACCCCCCCTGCCTACTTCGTATATAAGCAGCACCTTCCACATCCTATCACCACAGCTACTGCTCTCCGCAGCTATTCAACTGCTCTGAAGATGGAGGCGCTACGTTCCTCCGAAACGTCGGCCAAAACGAAGAATACACGGTGCCTAAACCCAGAAGACAACTTTCTTCATTGTCATCGCCGTGAAAACCTCAAAACTTACATAGTACACATATTATTTAGCAGAGCTCTATAAATAACACGTGAGTTTATATCACTCGTCCACTGTCCTCATTCCAGAAGAAGTACGTCATTTAGACTCCGATAAACTCTATAGACACAACATCCGCTGTGTTGCCAACTTGCACAAGTGGTCATGCATCTGCCTGCATTCAAGCGTTCCGAGAACCTATGAATTCTTGTAGAGAAACTAACAAAACTGGGGAATTTCTTATTTGGAGCCAGTGTAAAAATCTTAACATGTTTTATGCAATCTGTAAATTACAATATCTGATTCTATATTATTTCGAGAAAAAAACAGCGTTTATTTCGTTCGTTTATCACAGAAATTGCAGAAATAGGAGCAAATTTAGTAAATGATTACAGTTTTTATGGCTTTATAATCGCGGGTATTTAAATTTATTCTGTATGGCTGCCATTACCGGAATTTAAATGCCCGTAGGATAAATATATGATATGATATAATATGAACATTCTGAGGAATAGATAAATGTATGTATATATACCTTCTGTACTCCAGGTGAGGATGAAACACTGTCCACTTCCATTTGAAATGAATTCAAATCTGCTGCACTGGCCCGCATCCCAGTCTCAACCCAAGAGTGCCTAGGGCCCATGCTACCACCAGGTGGGCCACCAGCCCCATAGGGTGTCACCTGCTGAAGCCTCGCCACATCAAAGCCTGCTCCTTTGAGACTCTCTGTAACAGCTAACTGATCTACCAATGTATCTGGTCCCAGCTGCGTTGGGGACAGACACACCTCTGGGTCGTAATGAACAAGCAACTCTGGCAGCAAGTGGTTAGCTCCAGCATTTCGGCGAGCTTCAATTACCTGTTAAATTTCAAATGAAATCACTCAAAAAGTACTCCTTGGAATTACAGAATAATTAGGTGAAATATCATGAAAATGAGGTGTATAATTTACCATACTTACCCAAATACATGACAAGATTCTTCACTTCTAGCTGCATTTAAAAAGGCATGTCATCTGACATGCATGAATGTAGAGTATTATGTACAGAGACAATTGTAATTCAATAATTCCATAGAAAATGAAAATCTGGATACTGTGGTTCAATATGGAAATACTTCGATAAGCAGCAGTTAGATTTTAATTATCATCACTGCCACAGTTACATGAAATTTATACATTTCGTTATTTCTAAACATCTGGCTCTCCTTTGGTGAATACTTTGTAAAGACAACATCTGGTCATGAAAACATCGATCCAACATCTTCACAACTGCTTAACCAAACTGAATTTGAAGTAAAAATATTCTCATATTGATACTAAAAGATAAAACAAAATTCAAGGTATACGTTTGCCACACATCATTTAGTTCATGGATGTACGGCAATAGCATTTGGTGACCACTAAAAATTGATTTAAGTTGCAGGATACAGCATCAGTGTTAATACTTATCAATTTACACACACTTGCTGCTATTCTTGTTAAAGATATGTTTCTTTTTCTACTTTTTACCATAAACGCAGCTACATGTCTACATGGGGTAGGTCAATTTCTTCAACTCATTCCCATTCCAACCATCCTGTCATGTTTAACTGCACGACTTTGGTTAACCTTTAAATTTCACAGGTATGGGTTATCCAAAAACCTGATATGTCCTCTATGCTGGAGAAGTGACTGATCTGGTAGGTCTCTATCACATGCAAATTTTGTATATGTTACACAGTGAATACAACTTGGAAAAATTCAGTCTGCTTCATGAAATTCACAGTACATATCAGAACCCCACATATATAGTATTCTGGGAAATAAAATATTTCTGAACTCTAAAATAAAGATAACCTTAAATGAAGAGCACAGCTTAAGCAAGAGAAACTGAGATCTAAATTATGCAAAATTTTGAATCAAGACTATTAATTATGTATGTCATTGCATATAAGATCTTAATTTAGAACACATTTAGACCCACATACAAATTTGTGAGAATGCCCCTGCAACATAGACATTCCCCCTAAAAGACATGTTTATAGAAAAACACTTTAGAACATTAATATTCCATGATGACTACTGGCCACAGTATTACTTACACGCATGCATGCGCACGCGCGCGCGCACACACACACACACACACACACACACATATATATTGTACAGGGTGGGCCAGACTCAATTAGGCAGTTTTTGATCATTAATAACTAACAAATCCAACAACACACGGGATAATGGGAAAGTACCTTTTGTTGTCGATAGATGGCAGCATCATACGGTATGCTGTGAACGAGGTCAATACTTTGCCTACTTAGTGCGCATCGAGGAAACGTCATGGCCAGTAGACGGTTGTCTCTTGAGCAGCGTGTAAAATGTGTGCACCTTTTCTCAGTTACTAACAATGTATCAGAAGTCCAGTGCAGGATGTTGGAAGAGTCTGGACCACCAGCAGTACACAGGGACACAATCGTCCGAATAAACAATCAGTTTGATGAAACTGCCAGTGCTCTGAATCCCAAGAATCCTGGTCAGCCGAGAACTGTCCGAACTGCTGACACACAAGAACATGCTGCTGCGGAACTGGCATCATCTCCTCAGAAATCGAAGTCTACCCGCCGTTTGTCGGCCCTACTGGACATTTCGAGGACAAGTTTGTGGAGAGTTTTGAGTGACATGAAGCTGACGCCATACAATCCACAGCTTATTCACGTTCTTAATGAGGACAACTTCGACAGGTGACTTGAGTTCGCCGAGTTGATGCTGACCAAGTTTCAGGAGAACCCAGACCTTGTCCGGAATACTGTCTGGACTGATGAGGCCAAATTTCACACATCAGGATCGGTCAACAAACACAACTGCATGTTTTGGCGGCCAGAGAACCCCAGTGCCATCATTGAATATGATTTCCAGTCCCCGGGAGTGATGGTGTGGGGCGGCATGACGTACGAAGGACTGATTGGCCCGTTCTTCCTTGAAGGTTGCGTCACGGGGAAAACCTACCTAAAGTTGCTGGGGGAAAGTGTCATCCCAGAACTTCAGAGGAGAGAGAATTTTGATGAACTGTGGTGGCAGCAAGATGGGGCCCCACCACACTTCACCAATATTGTTCAGGCGTTCTTGCAGCAAGCTTTTCCCTCAACGCTGGATTGGCCGTCGAGGGCCTGTGGAGTGGCCAGCCCGATCATCTGACATCACCCCACCAGACTTTTTCCTTTGGGGTTACCTCAAAGACAAGGTGTACGCTAATCCCACTGACAGTGTGAAACATCTGCATGAGGTGGTTGTTCATGTGTTCAATAAAGTTACGGTGAGTATGTGTAGAAAGGCGTGTGAAAATGTTGATTTGCGTCTGTAAGCCTGTGTTGACTTAGGTGGTGCCCAGGTTGACCAGCATCTTGAAAATCAATGACTTATGTGTGTGCGATTCCATTTTTGTAACCATTGCAACTGTTAACATTTATCAATAAAAATAACATCTAATTAAAAACTGCCTAATTGAGTCTGGCCCACCCTGTACTATGGCATAACATCCAACATCAAATGCTAAACCGTCCGACACATAAGACATTCTGACCTCAAGCATTTAACAGAAGGAAAGAAAAAATGATATACAATTCTTTATTGGAGTCCGTTGTTACACAACAACATAACGGTCAAGGTTAATATTACCTTAGCTACGTGTTTCGGCTTTTAAAGCCATCATCGGGCAAACACATGATTACTATATTCACACACTATGGAACTGCAATTTCATTGTGACAGTAAAGCTGGATACTTGATAACTGTTACACTATAAAATACAAGGTATAAAAATACAATGAATTATAAACTTATTATACAAACTAAAGTTATGGAATAAATATTTTATTCTTCATGTGATATTGCATATCATGAAGTCAGTTGTTGCAATCGTGTTGTATTGCCGTGGACATAATGGTATATTGAAGACTTGTATACATATAGTAAACTTGGAGGCCCGTGGTACAGATGCAACTGCAGTTGCAATCTATATAGCCTATGGAGCGGACAAAATACACTGTAAGATGAGGCACTGGCTAAACAATTAATGTCAAATAATATTACATCTATACCACAGGCCTCCAAGCAGTTTACTATATGTGTACAAGTCTTGAATATACTGCTGTATGTCCGCGGGAATATAACAAGATTGCAACAACCAATTTTATGATTTGCAATATCACATGAAGAGTCTTTAACCATATTTTATTCCATAACTTTAGTTTTTATAATAAGTTTATAATTCATTGTATTTTTATACCTTGTATTTTATAATGTAACAGTTATCAAGTATCCAGTTTTACTATCACAATGGAATTACAGTTCAATACTGTGTGAATATAGTAATCATGTGTTTTGGCTGATGATGGCTTTAAAAGTCAAAACATGTAACTAAGGTAATGTTGACCTTGACCATTATGTTGTTGTGTTATAACAGACTCCAATAAAGAATTGTATATAATAACACAACAGGATGCACGGAAAAAGTCTTATTACGTGCTTCATGTGCCAAGAGAGGGGGCACATGGTAGCCTAGTTCGTTGAGGCACTATGCTACAAGCCAGAAGGTCGCGGGTTCAAGTCCCGATGAGGTCATTGGATTTTTTTCAATTGACCTGATCCTTCCGGCCGCACTATGGCCCTGGGGTCGACTCAGCCTCTAACAGAAATGAGTACCAGGAAAATTAATGGAATGTTCATGGGGGTAAAGGGTGGCCAGTATGTAGGGCTGACAACCTTGCTGCCATCTCGGAGTTGATTGTCTAGAAAATGTAGGAACCTCAACATCTCACAACCCTATGAGCCTCCACAGCCTGTTACAGGGATACTTTTACTTTTTTATGTGCCAACAGAGGGTTATATCTGACTGTTATAGATACTTTCAGTTGGCAACTTTCAGTGCAGATTCATTATCAACTTCCATTCAATTCACCGAGTATTTACAGAAATACAAACACAACATGCAGACAAGACAGACATGAAACTATTCATTTAATGTACTTTATGCAGTGAGTGTGTAATAAGCACAGCCCAGATTTTGATGACATGTCATCTTTTTTTTCTTTGTATCCTATGCGATGCTCTTAAATATATAAATCTCGGATATGAGCTGCTGGTTACAGAAATGTAAATTTTATAGGTTTGTCATTTTTTGACATTTTTAGGTTTAAGGTCTTTTTTTATTTTGGGGGCAATTTTTTGGTAAATTTTTGGACTTTTAAGGGCATTTCTTGTCATTTTTTGCCATTTTAGGGAATTTTTCTTCATATGTTTTCTGAAATGTAAATAACATGGAAGCGAAGTGTTCTTTCTTTCCTCCTTTAGGTCATTTTTCTGGATTTTTTCGGTCATGGTTTAAATATTTTCAGGTCATCAAAATCCGGGCCCTGGTAATAAGTAAAAGTGGCACCCTCACTTTCCACTTTTGCAAACCACCCCAAGCTTCTCAAACTTCTTATAATGCAGCTCATACATTCATTTTAAGTTGCTCTTATTATCTGACAATTCAATGAATTTTTTTTAACTGACCTAATCCTACCAGCAGCACTAGGCCCTGGGGTTTACTCAGCCTCTAACAGAAATGAGTACCAGGAATTAATTTAATAATTTTCCTGGGGAGTAAAGCACGGCTGGCGTGTAAGGCTAACAATCTTACCGCCATTTTTGAGCCAATTGTCTACATAGTGTGGGACCTTTAACGTTTCACAACCCTATGGGCCTTCACAGCCTGTTACAGGGATAGGTTTACTTTTTTTTTCTTTTACTCTTGTAACATTCTCGGATGGCTCAAATTTATTTTTTCAGAATACCACTATAGCCCCTTAAAATCTGGACATCTGAATACCACTTATTGATTA